CAGGCACAGTCAAAATCTACCTCAACAAGTCAAAAAAAGTACGTCCCAAGAAAGTTATTCCCCTCTAAAATTTTTTCTTCGCCGCGTCCCGTTCTTCCAGCGCCCGGGTGATACCTGCCGCGCTCCAAGGCTGACGCCGCAACGCAGACGCTTTCTGGCGCAACGGATTCATGTCTAGCACTCTTATTAACAAAAACAGGGGGTCGCAACTGGACCCCCTCGAGAGCTAGGGGGTCGCAAAAATCCCGAAAATGTTCGAACGTGACGGTTGACCCTGCTTCCCACTAGCTACTCCCTCGCCGTCGAACTCTAGCCGTCAGCAGAGACACAGAGCAGAGTGTTCCCTTGATGATTTGAGACCACGAGACTCTCCCAATGCGGGAATCATTGGGCAAAAAGGGCCCCTTTTCTTAGGTCAGCTCGTTTTTCTCGGTTTTCTTCATGCCTGCATCACTGCGCCCTCTCTCTTGCTTTCTAATGGGTTGCTTCTTTATCGAAATCCTTTTGAGCTGTAAGTGCTTAGCGGCAGAAGCGCTTCCTGTCGTCTGCTTTGGCTGCTTACATTGTTTTTCCCTTTGGAGATGCACTGTACATGCTGAACCGCGTCATCGTATACACGACTTTCACATGGAGGTCAGCAGTTCTGCTCTAGGATGAAAATCTGCTACTCTGCTGAATTTGATTTTCAATTTGGATTCACATAGGTCGGATGAATTAATGCTTACCGTGTTTGCGTCGCTGGAACTTCCACTGTTTGCCATTCTCTGTAATCTTCATTGGAAAGCCCAAGATCTCTTGTAAAATAGATGACATAACTCTGAAAAAGTCTTTTCGCTATCATTTTTTCATATACGACAAAGTGCCGGCGTTCGGAAAAACCCTTCGAAAGATGCCAAAAATCCGATTTCTCTCCCTATGTGTTATTAGAATCGCTAATCATGCGCTTGATCAGAGTCATCACTGCCAAGCCTATCATATATCAAGATCGATATGTTGGTATCATACTGAAATGGAAAAGTCAAGTCACCGCTTCAACACTTTCGTTCATAATAACCACTGCTCCGGCCTAATTCGACCTCAAATGGTATCACGATGTCAAAAGCAACTCGAACGTGTGGCCCACATCTATTCAAGATCCATGGAAAATTCCACGATAAGGTCGATGGCCGAAAAAACGTAATGGGAAAACAGTCGAACCCCCTGAATGTGCGGACCGATACGCGATTCGCAGCGACTATACTCCCAGCGATCTAGCATGGCCCTCCCCGCAGCACTATCAGCGCGGTACGCCAGACGACTGGCTGAACACTCGCTGCAGGTTCCTACCGTGCAGAGGAAGAGTTAAGTGTTGGAGAGCACAGCACCAATGAGAGGCATATGATGTGGAAGTGAACGGGCAAGGAAAGGGTCCCACTTCTCGGGTTCTGGACCATTTCTCATGGTATCTTTTCCATCCTGGCACTACAACGCGCTGCGTTCTAATCATAAACTTCGTCTTTGAATTATGAACACCCAGCAACACCAACCAAAATCTCTGTTGTCGAATTGGGTGGGTTCCATCGTACCACTGCAATGTTCGCCTCATTTATATCGACACTTACGCCCGTCGGTGGATTTTCCGGTCCTAAAGCGAAAACGAAATAAGTGAAAGGAAACGGTTATAATATAAAACAGAGATGATTACGGATACTGTAGTTGATTACTGATTAGAAAAAAAGCATGCAAATACCACTGTGTAACATATGTAGAGAGAGACGAGTGAATCTAATTTATTAATTCTAGATTAAGTTCACGGCACGGCAAAACCGAAAACTACGAACTTAAAAGGGAACCTTCCGTTAAATCACCTCCATTTGGTGTGGTGAAGTGAATTGCCTCGGAAAGCGGACCAGCTCCAGCTTCATTTATGGCACGAACCTTTACATAGTAGTCATAGGACGGTTTTAATTGATCTGTTGGTAGGGATGACCTGAAAAAGGAGTTCTTCAAGTCTCATCCAATATTACTCGATGTTAGATATATTCTCTGCTGTTAATTCATTGATTGCTCCAGCCAGGACCGTCAACCGTCACGTTCGTAATTTACCAAAAATTTTGCGACCCCCCCCTTTTAGGAGGGGCTCGATACGACCCTCTATCACCACTGTCAGCTTTAGGAGTTCTCCCAATGCAGTCCTCCTCCCCCACACTCCGATCACCACCTTCCACTCTCTCACCATCACGGCTGTTTCTCTAGTATTTAATGCTGAGATCTGAGACAGTCGATGGGAGGGGGAGGGGAGTTTATATTTCATGAGCGGCGATTGGCATCTATTTTTCACCTGATTCGCGATGATTTCACCAAAATCTTCAAAAACCCCTACAAACAAATACGACGCCCATTCCGATTTTTTTCCAGACATTGCCAACCTTTCTCAACCCCAAATGCGACCCCTCCCCTTCCCTAGATTGCAAAGATGACCCCCTTGTTCAAATAGTGCGAACGAACGGTTGACCACGGCTTCAACCTGAAGCAGCTTATCTGATTTCCTTCAATCGAATCAATGGTGAGATAGGCGGTAGCTTCGGACATCAAGCATGGATTGCGCATTAACGGGGATCGTACTTGAGTCTTTTTTTTTGAAGACATGGTTAAAGGGAGTGGGGGTGTCGTATTATGGGTTGATGAAGGCCAAACGATTGAATGGGAGTTGCATTTCCTGAAATAAGAGGAGCCGTGGTTGCGGGCTGAGAAGAAGTTAGTTGACGAGAATTTGGTAAGTTTTAGCAAAGGTTTCAAAAAATAGGCATGAAATGAACAAAATTAAAATGTTCATGGTTTCTTTAGCCGTCTTTAGCCATAATTACCCCTAAGCCATGATGGGATGGTGGTTTGGGGGGAGGCGAGAAAGAGGAGTGTTGCCGGGAGATTCTCTGAGCTGATGGTGTTGGAGGGTCGTATCGACATCCTCGCTAAGAGGGGAGCTGCAAATTCTTGGGACTGGAACCACGGATGGTTACCCTGCAAGCAACACTCTACCGACTAGCGTTTCCGAACAGCAGCTACGATCCGTCGAGGAACTCATTGAGGGCGAACCGTGCACCATGCTCCTGTGGCAAACTCCTCTGATATCGCTCGTGTAGAAGGCTAATTAGAAATCCGTGTGAATTTGAGTGATCCTCAATTTCTTATTTGGATGTACCCGTATTGGGGAAATTGTATACTTCGGCCTCCCTCTACACAATTCTGTAGTACTGCAGAAGCTTCTCGATTCTGCTACTATTGAATAATTTCATTTCTGGACAGCTCTCGAAATAAGCTGTAAAATAGGCCTATTTTTGCCCTCGTTTATGAACGAAGAGCCGGAATATGAAACAAATAACAGCATCCAACCGCTAATACATATACCTG